GTCAGTGAAACAGTATTATTTACCGGCTGATAAGGTTTCGAACAATAGGAATGATTCGACACCTGTCCACCCAGATATCTGGAAAATTCTACTACCCCTACCTACGACGACGAATAGGAGAAAATAAAGAAAACTATGAGACTCAAGTTTCAAAGTCGTATGGCTATAATTAATGATATGATTATGAACAATAAACTTTGTTCGAAACCTTGTCAACCGGTAAATAATACTGTTTCACTGACTGTGTGATATATCTCATAAACAAACTATAATATGGAAGATATATGGTGCTGTATACTACTGATAGACTGATTTAAGTAGTTAGTTGGACACCACACATCCACACACACACACACAATCAGTAGGGCTTTCTAGCCAGGGAGATCGTCAAAGTGGTCTAAGCCTTGAACAGCTGCGTTGTATTTAATTCAGTTTAGATTTTTCTATCGATTGATTGAACTAAAGTGCTTGGTGTCAGGTTGACTCTTTGTCGACTCTTTGTGCAGATGCTTCGATGATGTTTGGTCCATATGTAACTTGAAGTTAACTAGTGGATGATGATTTGCAGTGGAATCCAGGATGTGCATTGGGTTCGAGCCTTGGTGGGAAGTATTATAACTGAAGGGAAAATGAATAAATCCATCGCTAGTTTGTAATGTCTGAGCGCCTGTTAATTACTATAACGGCGATGACCTGGACTGGTACGTTAATAATACGTGCCTATTTGTCCTTTGTACGTTCCGATTCACTGAGCCATACAAATATCAAAAGACAAAGGCTGGCATGTGACTGTAAGATACTGTGTTATACTGTACATCTATTAGGAAACAACACATGATATTTATACACTTTCTTAACCATAATAAATTCGGCTGACAGCCGTGAAAATCGATTGTTCTTATTGGTTGGAGATATCCATTGTCATTGGTTGACGATCCGACAAAGATCAAGGTGAGAGAAAAGACGATGAACTGATCACTTACACTAAATTACATTATGTGTGAGATGTAATACACTAACATAGTAACTCCATAACAAGATAAATCACACGATTCGTGAGAAAGGAAAATGATATACTATTTTATGCTGAGTCCTATCAGGAACACCATCAGTGACTCACTGGGGAATGAAAGTACATCCACTGGTTGACGAGTCCCAAATAAGACGAAATGCACGTTATCCTGGATTCCAGTGCTAATCATCATCCACCAATTGACTTCAAGCTGCTACTCATGTCTGAAGTCAACCCTAACATCGGTGTATTCGGGTGAAGTCGGCCGAGAGTATCGAATCACTTTTCATTACTATTATTCTGTTTTGATTTCAAATCGAACCTAAGGCTTCAGCAGCACATATTCACTTTGTCCTGTTCTCCACGGTCCTCTTTACTTTTCTCCACATCCTCACACGATCTCATTCATGTCACCCTAGAACTTTACACCCAATTCACCGTCTTCTATTCAGGTCCCACTCGAAACCTGGCCTGCCGCTTAGATATCATTTAACAGTCTTCTCAGTGCATAATATCCAACTCTTTTCCATTTTCCTTTTTTATATTTGTTGGGTGATTGGTACTTAATTGGTTCGTTGCTTACGAGAGTTCCTTGTTGCTAATCCTTTGTGGTCGGATATCTCACCTTCATTAGAGAGCCGGTGAAGGCAACTACTGATAAACGTTTTCAAGTTGCTGGCACTACTTTTCTTGATAAGCCAAATCTTTGAACCATCTTTATACTGAGTACAACAGATTCCTAGATTGATTTCAGAGAGACGAAGGTCTGTCTTTTTTTTTTGGACCCTGGCTTTTTGACATCCTCATCTGTGGTAGGGCGACCTGTAGTTGGAACGATGCTGAGTAGATAAATGAAGGAAGTTACTTCCCTTGATGGTGATTGGTGCTTGCTGTTGATGTTGGTGGTGGTGACTAGTGGGTATCTTCATCACCCCCTGTCTCCTCTATGTTTACTTTGTTGCTTATGCCGTCAACTCGTTGGTTTTTGCCTTCAGATATCCCAGTTTGTAGGTGTGTCCGATGCGGGATTCAGTTCACCACATTCGGGAATGTCATCGGTAATAGTCGATAGTCTTGTCTCACTCCTGTCTCAATTTCAAACGCTTTTCTGAGTTCTTCGTTGCAGATCAGCTTACATGTGGCATTTTCATGTAGCTGTTGCCGAATCACTTTACAGAACTCAAATCCTAATCCATTACATCGAATTCTTTAAATTACAAGTTACACAGCTTGAGATCAATGGAATTTCATCAACAGTTTTCTTAAAAAACGCAAAGATTACTTCTATTTGCTTCATACAATAAATGGTGAGTTCAAGAAAGGAAAGTCAGCTTAAATGTGCACACTCCTGAGTGATTCATACGAGTAGTTGCACTGACATCACTGACATCAACTAGGAGTACTTACCATCCAACTAGAATAAAGCAATCGAAACATAGAACTGTGGTTTCGTGCCTCTATGGCTAAGCTCATCAGTGCCGTACCTATTCTGACAGAACTCAGAAAGAGCAGAATCATTTCAAACCCGGAGAATTTCAACTGGTGAAACTGGCAGAGTTGTATAGAACACTTGATTGGATCCGGACACCAAGCAAACCCACAAAACAACTTCTCAGTTATCTATACAATACGTGGGAATCTTGCCAAAAGAGTACAAATTAAACTTCTTCAAACTGCAGAAGCAATGGCAATTCACATATTGAATCCTGAACTCTGCATACAAAAGAAGTTTGTTCAGTCACTAAATCTACAATGGTCCTGATCTATCTTAACACCAAATACGTAATTTTGTCTTACCTCTTTCTTCTTTGATATAAGTATAAAACCCTCTATTAAATCTCTACGCTCATGACGACTGTTGCTAACTCGATTTTCGTTTATTTTTAAGTGAATTCTACTCAGCTTATTAACTTAACCCTCATTCATTTTTTTCATAGAACCCTATCAATTAGATTACGTCACCCAACCTACTTTTGTAACTTTATTTTAGTTTCTAACCGATTAACGCCTTCAAAATTACGTAATTTGTTTGTCAAAAATTAACAATTGCATTAACACATCTTTGGAAATGCTCTTTTTGTTGCCAAGACAAATTACTATAAATTTGCGATTTGTACAGCTTGAGAATGATATCGCCGAAAAGAGTAACTCTTCGCTGAACACCTTTTCTTTTCTATGACTGAATGGGAATTTTCAAGTTAGAGTGTTATACGCCTGAACAAACATTTAACCATGTTTTGATGTCGTTGTGTTCTCTGAGCTGGATGGTTTATAGGTGCGAAGCTTTCATTGTCCCCTACTAGGCAACATTTCCAGCGCAAACACTACAGTTTGTTGAAGTGGGCTCTTAGATTTCTCCACGAGTTTATTAGTCATCTTAACCTTAGGTTTAAGGTTAACCTTAAACGTGATCGGTTGTTCTCGTGTGTTTTCACACCTTCTAGACTACTTGTATTGGTATTGGTTGTTTCCCTGACTTGATGTTTGACCCTTTTCGTGTGAGATTTCTGTCTTATCGATTGGTAAATTTTGTCTGTCTCGATGTGTCTATTGATTGATGATTCACTGGAATAGTAGACAGGCTTCTAAAAATTCTCTAGCATTCTTGTTGTTTCCTCTGTCTAATATTTGAACACTAGTTGTCCCAGTCGAATTGATGTCCGTGGTTGTCTGTATTTAGTGATATGAGGGAGTGGATATCATGTCTTTTGATGGCTAGCTTATGTTTGTGGATACGAAGACGAAGGTGACATCCTTGTTTGGTCAATGTAGTGTTTTTCGCGGTTTTTACAATTTATTTTGTAGATGATGTTGGTTTTATCTTTTTTTGCTGTTGAGTCTTTTGGTTGATATGGGACTAAGTGAAGTGATTTTGTTGGTTTGTATTCGACGTCAATACCTAAAGATTTGAAGGGTCTTGCAGTGATTTCTCAGATACCTTAATATCTATGGTAGGGAGATTTTTAATGTGATTTCCTTAGAGGCTTTGATGTCGTAAGTTTGGCTTGAGGGTAGATGTCTTTTGATGGAAATCCTTGGACATCCATTCTTTTGGGGAAGTCCATCAGATATCTTTCTTCAGTTTTCCTTAAGGTGGAACTACTGGAATGAGTCCTGGCCCTCTTGAATATTGTTTGTATGCAATTCCTTTTGCGTGTTATTGGATTGTTGCTGTTATAATTGAGTATTTGGTCTGTGTGAGTTGATTTTCTATGGACTTCAGTTATAATTCTCCTGTGGTTGTTTGCTTGACTAAGACTTCCAAAAATGGGATTTGGTTCTCGGATTCCTCTTTTTGTTTAAACTTGATGTCATCGAAAACGGTGTTTTTTCAATTGGGTGAGTTCTATCTAACTCGTTTCTTTTGATTATTACAAATGTGTCATCTACGTAACGTATCCAAATTTTGGGTTTGATCATTGGTAAGATTATGTTTTCGAACCACCGTATCACTGCTTCTACTATTAAACCTGATATTTGCGATCCCATGGGTGTTCCTTTGATTTGCTCATATATTTGGCCGTTGAATAGGAAGTACATTGTGAGGCATATGTTTATGTATTGCCATGGGAGGTGTTCTTCGTTGCTGAGCAATTACTCCATGGTTGCTCTTTGCTAGTTTCTGCCCAATTCAGGTTAATAATGCTGTGATGTCGAAGAATATCAATCAGTTATATTTAACTGTGTCCTTTTTATACTGGAGTGAACTGGGACTGTGTTAATACAGATATTGTAAATTCCGCGAGGGATTCTTACAGACAGATCCTTGTACTGACTCTCCCTATCAGAGGATTACGAGTTAATCTGTTACACCTGTCAGTTTACACCACAGTCTTCATACTTTATTTATTTTACTATCAAGATATCTGTGTAGGCAAAAATTACACACACAATAGCTAACTACTCATATCAATTATCCAGTAATATATCACCTCATTTAATAAAAATGATAATAACAATGAAATTTTTTCTTTATTTTGATTTACAGATGGAAAATATACAAAAATTTCTTGATTTATCTGAAGCATATGGTGTTCCACGGGAATGTCTGTTTCAAACAGTTGATTTATTTGAAGCAAGAAATATGGCTCAAGTTTTAGCTACACTGTTACAGCTGGGCACAGAAGTGAGTTTATCTTATTCAATTATCTACTTGCTTACTTGTAAGTGCTAAAATTATATCTCTAACAGCCTAAAACATCAGTGGTTCAGTGATAGATCACTCATCAACTGCACCAATAACTCCATGGTTTGATTCCCCTGTTGATGCACTCTTAAACTTCCCTTAACCGTTATTAGACCATCAGGTCTAGTTGTAACGACAGAAGACAAGGACCAGCCAACAGATAGTTACTTGGAGGAAATCGACAGATATTTATAGATTTTCATGTACATTAGTATTCTCTATTTGCGCACAGATCAAATACTAAAATACTAAAAGAAACTGTGTGCAAACATTGTTTAAAAGAGTTCAAACACACACTGTAGCATTCAAGCGTTGAAAAGAATGGTATAAAAATACCTACAAACGGTCTTAAAAAAAGAATGGTTATTCACAAAATTTCATCAAAAAGTGTATAAAGTCGAATCAAAACACCAACAAAGGACCATCATTATAGATCACAAGAAAATTCATCCTAGCATACATGAAAAATGTCTCTGAAATAACAGCTAGAATACTGAAACCGTTTGATATGGATATAGCACACAAGCCAGTCAGCACAATCACTTCATTCGATATTATGCAAACCGAAAGATCCAACAGAAAAAGGAGATAAAATTAATACCATTCACAAAATAAAGTGCATGTATGAACTGTAAGAGACATTACACCGGCCAAAGTAGGCATCCTCTTCGAATCAGAATCCAGGAACACAAATCAGCCGTGAAAAGACACTATATATATTCTTTCATATCAATGCATATAGACCATTATTGACATCAGTTTGATTGGGATAATGTCGAAATCTTAGACAGAGGAAACACCACCAGAAGTGCAGTCAGGGAATTCCTAGAAGCCTGGTACTCAAACGAATATGCAGTTAACAAATACGTTAACATATAGACCAAATATATCAACTAATAAAAAGTAAATCAGGTGACCAGAACTTTTAAGATCCAAGTCAATAAAAAATGATCAGTACAGATGTAAAGATGATCACCAGGAGACGAAATTCATCAATCATGAAGAAATTTAAATCATTTCACTTTATGCTAAAAATTGCGCTGAAGATGTCGTCCAGAAGGACGACGAAAGCTCCGCAACTAAACCAACCAGTTGAGAGAACACTATTAATTGCAAATAGTCCCCTGAGCTACAAATCTTCTCTATTATTATTCGTTAATATCAGCAGAGAGGTAACGCCTTCAGATTGGTTGTTTTCCTGTTGAAGGTTATTCTGTTATCTCTTTGTGGCCATTTCCTTGAAGGTCAGACCATATATCTGTTAATCATATCCGCCCACGCTAAGCCTGCTGTGATTAGTTGTTGTCTTAGTCTTTGTTCTTGTTCTTTTCTCATGACCAAGATTCGGGACGTAAACATTGACGTAAATTGGTGTCTACCAATTCTGGCTAGCATACAGCTCTCACCACATAGTTACTGATAGTTCGATTCTTTGACAGAGAATTTATTTTCTGAAGGACACAGACGCATTTTAGGCACAAATGGTCTACCAGCATGGAATGTGGATGAAATAAGAAAAATATCCAACATTACTGCAGAAAAGTTTGATTTTATGATAGGGTAATATACAACAGAAATTCAGCAGTACTTAGCCGCGGGAGTTTGAACCAATGATCTTCTCAACAGAAGTCGAGGTGTTGACTGTTCAGCCACTGTCATATGAATCAGTAGCCCATGAAGTTCAACCTCTGACAATTCGCGATATGCATAGCGCAAACATAAGCCAGACAGAATAATCGGCGAATAACTATTCTCTTACCTGACTTGGTAGACCCCATCCATCAAAACTTTTCACAAGAAATCCAGGTAACGTCCTGTAAGGTGCCAAGTGCTAGTAAGTATCAGATTAGTCATCAAGTGTTAATTTGCAGGGATTCGACTAGTTACAGGGTAATACTGAAGAGTCCCGAACTTTGACGAAACAGCTCTCCAGTGTTCCTTGATACTCCAGAGATTTTCTAACTGGTGTCAGCTCATGATTAAACTAGTAACCAATCAAATTCCCGCAAACTGATATTTGATAATCGAAATTTTTAGAAAGTAAATACTAAAGAGAATACTGAATCATTGTTACAGCCGCTTCAGATGGGAAAATACTAGCAGAGGATCTCATCAACTATTGATCTTATTTTCACTTAACTTTACGATACTAAATGCAACCCAACATTCTTAGTTGGTTAAAAGCAATCAACAGGAAGCAACGGAGTCGAGTTTTACGATTATTGGCACTCCTGAGTAAGCCGTTCTCACAAACTTGAAGGAATTGAAGTCGTTTTTAACATCTTTTCGGATAAAAAAACGAGGATGAAAGTTAATCGCTTCTTGGTATTTAATACGTTGTTATGCATAAAGATTTCATTTCTAAAAGAATAAGTCATTATTATTATTTTCCCATCCTCGGATTGAGAAATCTCCATTCCAACGAAGAACAAGTTTTAATTTTTCTTGCGCCCTTTGAAGTCTCTTTATCAGCTGGAGTGGGTTGTTACATAGTAGGATTACTAGTTTCACGACCAACCAGACTTTCCTCTCCTAACCCAGACTCAGGACAAACTAGTTTACTTGTAATCAGAACAAGTCCCGTCAGGTTGGTGTACGTCATTAATTATCCTGATATACAAGCAAGGAGGCAAATCTTCCTGTGATAATCCGACGGAAATTGCCTTGACCAATATGGTATCTAAAGTTATGGGCTCAATAATCATGCGTAGACTAAGTGGTGCTCGGGAGGAACAAACACGAGAAAACTAGACAGGCTTTAGACCAGGAAGTGGGTGTGTTGATCATATCTTCACCCTTCGAATGATTCTGGAACACAGACATACTTATCGGCACCCAACAATCGTTATATTTCTTGACCTGAAGGCGGAGTTCGATTTTGTCGACTGAGAGGTACTATGGGAATGTTTGGCTGGGAAGGGATTGTCGAGAAAATACATTGCACTGATCAGGGCACTCTACTCGAACTCATACAGCCGACCAGGTGAGAGCTCACGGCGAGTTGTCATATGAAGTGGTGACAACAAGTGGTGTCCGTTATCAGAGACGCCCATTCACTATCCCCATTTCTGTTTACTTTCAGGACAGATGTACTTTTTGACTTAACCCTAATTCACTTCAGTGACTAGGGACTGACTTGTTACCACCAGGGAATAATAGTACCGTTCACTTAGAATATGCAGGTGAAATAGTCATTCCTGCTATGTGAAGACGCTGATAAAATTCAGAGTCTTCTGAAAACCTTGAGTTGCAACCTGGGAGTGTTTGGCATGCGCTTCCCTGCCTTTGTCAACTGTTAAATAGTAATACTCGTCTGCAATACATTAACTGCTAGCTTAGAAATAGGGAATGAAGTGACTGTTGAAGGAAGTCGGTAACTTGCCTGGTCATCCATCGACTCCCTCGACAATGGGCAATGTTACCTGACATAGGGTCAGGATGGAAAAGAGCTAGTGGTTGGTGGTCAAACCAAAACACGGCCTCATCAGACAATCAAATCCACAACAGTTAGTTTGAGCCACGTAGGGAGGTGTAGACTGACTGGCTGTTTGGGATGCTCAGGACAGTAAACACCAATGGCTGGAGACCATTATCGGTGATATGGCTCAACCTCATCGTTCTCAATGGCTTGCTCAGATGCATCCACTCCTTGTGACTTGTAATACCAATGAAACTATATTGTTCTTCGATATTACAATTCTTTTCGCCTCATATCTCTGTTAACTGTCTCTATTTTGCATTTCTTTTTACTTTCTTCTTCTTGTTCTTCTTCTTCTATGGCTTTATGTGCTGAGTGAAATGTGCCGACACGAAATGCTGCACACGGGCGCAAAGTTCTATGTTGAAATCTGTCAGTCACTCAGTTTACTTGGAGATGTTAGTCACATAATTGATGTACCCAATGAGTGGCTAATTATACACTGGTTTTTAGGAGAACAAACCATTCAGTGTAACCTTTTCTTCTAACCATTTCTAGGCTCTCTATTCCATGCTGAACAATGGCCAATCTTAACATTTTATTCCCTTGTAAAATTAGTGATTATATTCTTTCGAGTGTGAACTTGAACTGACCATTGTTTTTTGAAATCTTCACACTATTATCCATGAACCAGTCGATATTACGGTTTCTGTCACTGTCTATAAGAGAAGACATCTTCGTTCAGTAATTCTTACATGAATTCCTTCAAGTTTATGTTATCACTATTTTCCAATTATTAAATATACCTAAAGCATCAAACGTTTCGTCAATCTGGCACTGAATTCAAATCTCACACCATTAATTTTATCCTGCTACTACTGATGTTTTCAAGTATTTGGTTTATAGTCATTTGATTGGCTACAGTTTGATAATAAGCTGACATCAATTAGAGAAGCAGTGAAGAGCTGTTTCATCCTAGTTTCGGACTCTTCAGCTGTAACCTGTAATTGGTCAAATCCTTGCACAATAACATTTGGACACTAGTATGATGCTCACTAGTGGTCAACTCAATGCAAGAAGTAACCCGGACTCTTACTGAAGTATATATATACATATATATCGTGAATTGGTGGAAGTTGGAACTCACGGACTACTGTATCGAGTTCCAATGGCAGAATGCCTACGAGTCCGCTTAGTGACTAGAAGAACCTGGTTTTGAACCCCAGAATATTGCTGAAAGGTCTCGAGGTAGGGCGAAACACACATCAAGTAATATTGATGTAATGAATAGTATGATGATGATGCTGATGATGACTATAAAGGCGAAATGTAAAAAAACTACATCGCAGAAGCATTCAAACTAAAAGCCTCTGGATTCCTAATTCGGCGGTTAGCAGTGAAGTTAGTTACTTGTAATAGGTCTCAACTAGTAATAATACATTAGCCAATGTTTCGAATTCTGCTATGGTCAAGATTTCTATCCCACCTTCCGTCACACTTTTCCACAATTCCTGAAAAAATTCTAACATTAAATATTCACTTCTTTGGAGTAAAATTTTGAAGGTAGCTGTTTTGTCATGTTGTGAAGCAATAAACTTATAAATGCCTATGTTTATGTAATGTATAGACAATTGAGTGCGTCGGTGGCATAGCGGTTATGACGCTCGCCGATCATGCACATGGTCCGGGGTTCGATCGCCGGCCGATGAACTCCTTTACCTCGCTAAACCAGCAATGAGACTGGTAAAGAGGAAAGGTTGGGCATGAGGCTAGCAGCAACCCCATCCTGTAAAATAAACACTGCTACAGAAACTTCAAGCCACTAGGCCCTATGTTCCACGGGCGAACATGAAGGAAAAAAATAGATAATTTGGGTGTCTATAGGTTCAGCGGTATAGAACACGCCAACCACACACGTGACTCAGGGTTTGATTCCCCGCCAGTGCACTCCTCTTAATCCTCGCTTAGCTGTTAGTAAGCCCGATAAAAAAAGAAGGTAAGAAGTGAGGCTGGCAGCGTCACTGCGTAAATCACAGCACTGTTGCCACTTAAATTTCAAGGGTGAAGCTTGAAGATTAACGTTCCATGTGGAACTGTCTGTCTGATTTCAACATAGAACATTTTTCGCCCATGTGCAGCATTTCGTGTCAGCACATTTCACTCACCACATAAAGCCATAGAAGAAGAAGAAGAAGAAAGCAAAAAGAAATGCAAAATAGAGACAGTTAACAGAGATATGAGGCGAAAAGAATTGTAATATCAAAGAACAATGTAGTTTCATTGGGTATTACAAGTCACAAGAGTGGATGCATCTGAGCCAGCCATTGAGAACGATGAGGTTGAGCCATATCACCAATAATGGTCTCCAGCCATTGGTGTTTACTGTCCGAGCACCTCAAACAGCCAGTCAGTCTACACCTCCCTACGTGGCTCAAACTAACTGTTGTGGATTTGATTGTCTGATGAGGCCGTGTTTTGGTTTGACCACCAACCACTAGCTCTTTTCCATCCTGACCCTATGTCAGGTAACATTGCCCATTGTCGAGGTAGGCTGTGGATGGCTAGGGATGCATACGGAACACATGTTCTAACTATCTCAGTCGATGTAACTTCACAGCCCCGTCAATTGATTTCCCCTCCCACCTACCTAGCACTCGACGCCTAACCTCAATATTGCTCACCCTATTACACCATTTCACAGGTAAGATAGAACGCAGACACCTATGATCAAAGACAGCTAGCCAAACAGGCCTTTCGTGTCTTCTACTCTCAATGGCCACGTCTTACAGCCATAAAGGAGAACGAAGCGGATATCTGAGCAGTCCGCACGTCCTTTGGCCGACAACCAGCCGGATATCATGTCTACGTCAGAGATGGAGTAAACTGGCATATGCGAAAAGAGCCTTCTCTATCCGTTCTGAGATTTCGTCAGCGATCAGTCCGCTGGCGTTGGCTGATGCAACTACCTAAATAAGTGAAGTGGCCAACATGCTTTACCAATTCACTCCCTATTTCTAAGCTAGGAGTCAATGTAGTCCAGTAGATTCATTTAGCATCATCTTACATTTGGCGGGAGCGAATCGCATACCAAACATTCGAAGATTGCTGCTCATCTCAAGGTGTTCGGAAGACCCTCCATTTTGTCCATGTGGAACGCGAAGGAATAAAATAAAATAATAAATAAACAGATGGTGCATCATTATCTTATTTAATACTTTTCTATGTGAAAAAATACAATATCTGAGATACATTTTCTCCCAGTATAGCCTTCACTGTATCCATAACTTAATGAGTTTCTTCTCATCTTTTCTTTGCTGTCGTTATCCAGTGTCAACGTAATGGATTTCAAGGACCAGTTTGTGGGCCTAAACCAACTTATTCGCAACCACGTCAATGGTCAGAGGAGCAATTACGCGCCGGGGAAGGTATAATTGGTCTACAAGCCGGGACAAATAAACTAGCCTCACAAAAGGGGATGTCATTCGGTGCACAACGTCATATTGCCGATATTAAATGCGATGATATGACACCAGAAGGTGAGTGAAACACTAATGAATACATTTTGCGCTTTTCTCCCTTCAGATATTGTGTTTCCTTACTTTTATTGTTATTAATCTAGGTGGTGGGTAGAATGTGGGGATTCGATAATGCGTCTCTATTTCATCATGTTCTTTGAAGTCCTAGTTTCTCGTTTAACCGTACTACTCTCAGACGCCCAACTCGCCGTTTCCGATTTGCGTTCTACTCGACGGCCTGGCACGTGATATCATCAAACTGTCTCCTCAGAAAACCATGTCCCATCCATCTACATTTCCCTTTGAATATTTGTTGAGTGATGGGTTCTTGATTGGTTTCTTTGCCAAAGTTTCTTTCAAACCCCGGTTGGTGCATACAGTTGAAGAGTTCCAAGCTAGGACTACACAGTTACGATTTGGCACTCGTATCAGTGCTCACTAATGGCTGTCTCTCCAGAAATCCAAGGATCTAAGACCTTCAGGTTACGATTGAATCTGTCGACCGTCTGAAGACTGAGTTCAACTCCAATGACTCCTGAATTCTGTCATCTGTTAATTTTTAATAAACAAACATCAATGGATCAGCCTTGTATCCTGAAGGTTTTAGGTTCTACTTATGATTTGCTTGTCAGTGTAGACTTCTAAAGAGCTCCAAAGCTGGACAGCAAATTCATTGTCTTTTGCCTGCTGGTTTCTCCTATATTGGCCAATTCGCCTCTCCTTAGTCGGCCTGGACAACCTGTCCTCTGACAGGTCATCCATATCGCCACCGTGCTTAGCATGGACCCCCGATCAAAATGAGCACCCAAACTCCAGGACTCCCGATCCCGCGAAATTTCTCACCCTGGCTTCCAAATAGCCAGATAACAGGCGTACGCCACCACGTCCAGCACGTTGGTGGTGAAGTGGTAGAATGGTCGTCAACCACGCAGGTGCTTTGGGGTTCGAGCCCCGACCACCGACGCACTCCTTTATCTCGCTAAGCCAGTCATAAGACTGGTAAAGAGAGAAGCTTGGGCATGAAACTAGCAACCCCATCCCGTAAAAAAAAATTAAAAACCACTACTACCGAGACTTCAAGTCTTTAGCATGAAGATGCCCTATGTTCGACTGGGAACGTGAAGAAATAAAAAAAAAGTCGTTTTCAGTTACTCGTGATAATATCTGCAGTGATATAAATCCGGCGTTCCTACAACACCCAGAAATTTCAGTAACCTGATTGATCTTTCTTTCTTTCTTTTATATTTCAAACTTTAGGCGCTGCTGTAATCAGTTTACAAATGGGTACAAATAAATTTGCTTCACAAAAAGGAATGAGTTTCAGTAATCAACGTCATATTGCCGATATAAAATGTGATGATTTGAGTCAAGAAGGCAAGTCGGTTATCAATCTTCAAATGGGTACAAATCAATTCGCTTCACAAAAGGTAAAACAATATGAATAAGTATTACTTGGTTTCTTTTACCTATTAATTTATTATTATTCCCTTGGGATCCTAGTGGAACATAGGAATTCAAGGATACAACACATCTTCACTGTGTTCTATTCCTCTGCTGTCCTCTTCATCTGGGTCCACAATTGCCCACAATCTCTCATTTCCTCCTCCAACTGCCACGATCTCCTCCATGTCACACTTTCCATCGAGTTTGCACTATAGATATGGCCTGGATGATGTGCGACGTCATTCACTGGCCTCATCAACATCTGTCCAATCAATCTATCTCCATTTTCTGCTACATATTTACTGAGCAGTCGGCTGTTGGTTGACTTGTTCTCAGTCAGAGTTTCTTGTTGCTAATTCTGTCTGGTTGGCCGGCCGACTGAGTATTTGATTTTCAGTATGGAGCCAGTGAAGTGGGCAACCGTTGATAAAAGTCTGTATTAGCTTGTTGGAAATTTTTTTACGTGACGCACATACAGTGTACGTTTCTGACTTGTATAGCAGAGATGAATTGCTGACTTCACATTTCTACTGAACAGAATCCGAATCTTGTTTTTTATGTGCAGAAGATGTCCAGACTGCTTCTAGGTTGATGAATGCGTAACTTACCTTCCGATGTTGACTGGCTGTTGCAACAACAACAGACAGCAGTCGGTATGAATGGGCGAAATTTGAAAGAAGCAACTCCTTTGCCTACCTACCTACCTACCTATGCGGGAAGCATCGTTTCAGCCACAGGTTAACGGAACTGATGAGGATATCAAAGCGAGGATCTAGAAAGCATGTCAAGTTTTCCACTACTCTCAAGTCTGTATGGAGGTCAACAGCAATCGGCATGGAAAATAAGATCCGAATTTTCAACTCCAATGTGAAATCAGTACTACTTACTATACGGATCAGAGACTTGACGCCTTGCTGAGTGACGAATGCCAATTTGAATAAACTACAGGCCTTCATCAACAGCTGTCCTCGCTCAGTACCACTCGAGATCAGATGGCCAGCCAGAAAAGATCAGCAACAGGGATCTCTGGCAATGAACCAACCAACCAACCAACCAGGAACCAATTGTGGAACAAATATGCAGAGTGAAATGGAGGTGGATTGGCCATACTCTGAGGTCATGTTAGGAGGAGATGAAAGCATGTGGGTAGACGTGAAGCCAGGTAAAAACGTTGGCAGAGAACCGAACGCAGTGAAGACGTGTGACTGAAATCCTATGTTTCTCAAGGAATTAAAGGACACAACAACAATAATAATAATAATAATAATAGTAATTTTCCACCTTCTCTACTTTTTCTAGGGTATGCGAATAGGTGCAAGTCGACATATCGCTGATATTCGTTGTGATGATATGTCAAAAGAAGGTCAAAATGTGATTAGTCTTCAATATGGTACAAATAAATTAGCTAGTCAAAAAGGTATGCGTATGGGTGGTCAACGTCATATCACAGATATTCGTTGTGATAACCTGTCAGCAGATGGAGCATCTGTTATCGGTTTACAAATGGGATTACCACAAAGTCAAGTTGCTTCACAATCAGGCATGTCATTCGGTGCCCACCGACATATTAATGATTCACATTAGACCTGATCAAAATGTAACAACGAAATCTATATATGATTATGATAATAATTGATATTATTATTATTATTGTTATTATTATTATCCTTATCACTATCACCAGTTGAAGAAAGCGCCTTCCTCGTCAACACAAATCAATACATATGCACATAATTATTTATTTTTACATAGCCAAAATTCTATTGGCTTATCTTCTTATTGATTATTTATCCAACTATGATTATTATTATTATTACTATTTACGCGCTTATTTTGAAAATAAACCCGCGAACATTGAATATTGAACAAAGCAATTCTATTTTATTTGTTTAACTACACTCAAACACACACACACGCGTGCGCAAATACACGTTTTAAAAAAAAGAAAGGCATGGCTTCTGTCTTCTTTAACCTTTCTCGCTGTCTCTCTATTTGTCTCTCTCTCCGTCAGTCTGTCTTTCTTTTCCGACGTTCTTCTGCCGAACTGTCAAGCTGTCCAGTGTTTAGTTCTATTACTGTTACTAATATTATTTATCAAAATAAAGCCTAGCAATAGTAATAATAATAATAGTTATTACGATAATGATTATCATTTAGACTATTTTAGTTTGAATTATGTCACACTAATCTTATTTTTATCCAAAGGAAATAAGCTTTCTATGTAACATATATACATATATATATATTAGAATTTGAATTTGCCACACGGGAGAAATAAGAGTTTTAATTTGTTTTTTGTTTTTGGATGAGGGGGGGCGGGATTGCTTTCTTATTCTTCTCAGAATATTTATTTATTCAACTTTCTTCTTTTTATGATTATTGTTATTGTTATTCTTAGTCGTTGTTGCATTCTTTATGAAGCATGCTTTCAAATAAAGCGTTTTTCAAGAATAATTTTCTCGTATTATCTCCTGTGAAAGCATACATTTGAAGGACTCACCAATCTTGAGAGACAGGGCAGCATATCACTGTATCTTTCTTAATGCTTTTTGCAATGTAACCGGTTATTAATAATATTGTGAACAATGGTGAGATAAGGTGTAGATTGTTAGATAAGAAGGCTGTGAGGTAGAATCGATTGAGGTGGATGGGACACGTATTGTGCATCCTAAGCCACCGCCTTACTCAGCAGGAGATCAATTAGGCAGGAAAATTAAATCAGCCCATGATGTCTTTGATAGATGATCTTAGCGATGTTGGGAGGTGTAGGATGGTTGGTGGGGGTCCTCCAAATGGCTCGAAACGATTTATGGTACGTTTCAAAGTCGTTGTCAGTGATTCAGATGTATTCAATCTTTATGAACTATTAGATCCTTTGAGCGCTCATGTTTTCCGGCGTAATTATTCCTTCTTCCAGAGAGTTCTGCTCATTGTAGTTCCTTTGAATTCCTTCCCTAATATGTCTTCCTATGATAATCCTACGGGAATTACCTTGACCAATATGTTATCTAAAGTTCTAGGTTCAATAATATTGCGTAGACGAAGCCATGCTTGGGAGGAACAAACACGAGAGAGAATCAGGCAGGCTTTAGACCAGGAAGAGGGTGTATTGATCATAACTTCACCCTTCAACAGATTCTGGAACCTAAGGATACTTACCGGCGTCACACTTCTTGACCTAAACGCAGCATTCGACTCCGTTGACCGAGAGGTACTATTGCGATGCTTGGCTATAAAGAGAACGCCGAGAAAACACACTGCACTGGTCAAGGCACTCTACTCGAACTCATGCAGCCAGCCAGTGAGAGCTTACGGCGAGTTGTCATCTGAACTGGTGACAACAAATGATGTCCATTATGAGAGACGCCCACTCACTATCCCCATTTCTGTTTAATTTCAGCATAGATTTACTAATTGACTTAACACTAACTCACTTCACCAACTCAGGGGTCGACCTGCTACCAGGGAATAATTTCGCTGACTTAGAATATGCAGATGATATAGTCTTCCTGACTAGGTGAAGAGGATGGCAAAATAAAGAGTTTTCTGAATGCCTTGAGCTGCATTCTCCGAATATTTGGCATGCGATTTCGCTCCCGCCAAATGTAAGATGATGCTACTGGATTGGATTACATCGACACACTTCTGGCTTAAAGATAGACAGGTGTGAAGTGGTCGGTGGAGCATGTAAACCAATTCGCTTATTTGGAAAGTTGCATCAGTCAACGCTACAGGGTTGATTGCTGATGAAATCTCAGCACGTATACAGAAGGGTCACCTGGCAAATGCCAAATTATGCCATTTCTGGCTGATTAGATGTGATATCCAGCCGGCTATCTATCAAAGGGCATGTGCATTGCTCAGTAGTAGTTCGCCCCATTCACCTCCTTTATGCCTGTGAGCGAGACATGGCATTGAAAGTGTACGATATGAAAAGGCTGGTTACCCAGCTGTCCTTGATCATAGGTGGCTGTGTTCTATCTCCCGTGTTAGGTGGTGGTATAATAAAGTGAGCAATATTGAAGTGAGGGGCGAAGTTAAACTTTCGACACCACTAACTACCAATCAGCGAATTATCCAATGGGATTCACGGACGATGTCGAATTATCCAATGAGATTCACGAACGCAGTACAATGCTGTAGAGCGCTTGATTCTTTTCTAATACGCGACCTTACAAGATTACGGTTGCAATTCGAGGAGTACAGTGTTTTCCAGTATTGCCTGGATTTAGGGTTGCTTCGGAAGGAGCGAACTTGTTCGTGTGTTGGCATCATGACTTTAAAAAGCTATAGCAGATCAACTGATGGGTTTGTTCATCGTTGTGCTATGTGTTTGAAGCGTGCTAACATTAGAGCGGATAAGCTGATAATTTTAATATTTCGTAGGAACTTTTTTCCCTAGGTCGCATCTCTCCCTAACCCAGAGTTTCTACATCTGCAACTACTGGGTGTTGAAACAGCCGGTGAGAGCAGCAGCTGCCGAGACTGAGAATAGTCTTGTCTCAACAGTTTAGTGGTACCAGCATTGTAGAGATATTGCTTCGTGTAAAATAGGGAAAATCACTTGTTTGCTGGGTGGATCCCGTTACGAGGACTCATGCGAATTCCATTGAAGGTTTTTGGGGCTGCTTGATAAACAGGATAAGGGCTATAAATGGATCTCAAAAGGATCTCATTTACCGGCATTCAGATAAATATAAGTACACGATGTGGTGTGACTTCTCCATTGACAGTCTTATGCTAAACTTGGAGATGTTTCTCGAACATGTTCGAGAAAGATACCCCTTGTAACCGTTTTATCCTCTTTTTTATGCTTTTTTCTATAAATATACGTTTCCATTCATCATATATGCCTATTTAATATGATTGGTCCGTTCAAAGTCGTTTGCTGATTGGTTGTTAGTGGTGTCGAAAGTTTAACTTTGCCAAGTGAGGAATCAGTCGAGTGCTAGGTAGGTGTGAGGAGAAATCAATAGATGAGGGTGCGAAACTACACCAACTGAAATGGTGCGCAGATGTGTTACGCATGCATCCCTCTTAGCTATCGATCGCCTTCCTCGATGAAGGGCAAAGTTAGCTGGTATAGGTTCTATCAGGCTAGAAAAGAGCTAGCACATAATGGCCAAAACAAAACATGGCTTCATCAGTCAATGAAAACTACAAAAGTTAGTTTAAGCTGGCCAACCACGAAGGGAGATGCAGACTTCCTGACTGGCTGGTTGGGGTACTCGGGACGGTAAAAACCAATGAAGGCTGGATACCATCAGTGATATGACTCAAAGTCATTTCCAGTGGTACAGATGAAGCCACTTCTTGTAATTTATCATATCCAATAAAGTTATATTGGTGGTGGGATCCAGACAATGGGTTCCAACCTGAATATTACTCTCACAGTAAGAATCATTGTATATTTGTTGGTGTTAACGTCTGAATACTACTCCTATAGTTGAACACTGCATTAGTAACAGAATACTATATATGTATTTGAACATTTTATTTCGTGTCGTTTGACGATGTGGTTGGTTAGAGAATATAAAACTGTATGTTTATAAATGGTGGTTTGATCAATTGAAAATATACCTTGGCTCACATGTCTTGCTTACTGCTGTTACACAATTAGTTAAGGTGATTCAAGATATGCTAGGAACGACTAACATAAGGCTGATTAAACGTTTTAAGTAAGATAGCAGATCCCTCTAATTTTTTGACTAACCTCCAAGATACTTTCGTCATGAGAAAATTAACCGAAGTGTGTTTTAAACTTTCACTCATGAGTTTCAGCACATCCCCAAAAGCATTCTTAGCGATAGGCTTGGTCAAATGAAGGCGAATAGGTTTGCCGTTAATAGACAAAGCAAGATACATTCGTCTCCTTTTTGCCTTAATTGATTTTGGGCGTTGCAAAAAATGGTCTGTACCTGAGGGGATTGTTTCGGCTTAAAAGAAGTACATTTCTCCCTCACCGAAGAGTTTTTCTCTGGTGGACAGTAGACCTCTTTATGTCGAAAAATGGTGACATTTGCGGCATTTATGCTTCTTTAAAGGATAAAATTTGACAAAACGCCATCAACTACAGTGCCAGCACACCGACGAAGGTTTAGCTGAATTTTGAACTGTCCGTCTGTTTTTGACATAGAACTTTGCACAAATGTGCGGAAGTTCAAGTCACCACACTCCGTGTGGCACGCGAAGCAAGAGAAGAAAGTATAAGAAAAGCATAATAGAGAAAGTAAGCAGAGGTGTGAGACAAAGGAGTAATAACGAAGAACAAAACAGTTTCATTGGAAATCATAAGTCACAGGGAGTGGACGCATCTGCGCTGGCCATTGAGAACGACGAGTTTGGGCCATGTCACCAATTGTCTCCAACCATTGGTTTTTACCATCCCGAGGATCCCAACCAGGAAGTCTACACCTTCCTACGTGGCTTAGACCAACTGTTGTGGATTTCATTGACTGGTGCCAAGTTTTTGTTTGACCGCCGCTAGCTTTTTCCAGCCTGACCCTATATCCGCTAACATTGCTTGTCGAGGGAGGCGATGACTAGGCATACGTAACACATGTCCTAACCATCTCAGTCTTTGT